GGCTTCTAGTACGATTCGAATAGAAGTCGCAAAACTCACATTACGCTTTCACATACGATGATCAAAATGTGGCCTCAAGCGGAGCATTTTTTAATGACTCTGATGAATTTCTGAATGCTAGCCCCCTATATAATGCGTCGACCCACTGCTACACTGTGTAGCCTTACTCAATTGCTGTTCTGTTCGTTTTGATCGGTCTATTCGTTCCTTGCGTCCTGGGCGCACTTATGTAATGTTATCCTTTCACGTACATTTTACTCTTGTGATTTGGGTACGTGACGATTAGGTGTATATTATTACATAAAATTCCTAACACAATTCTAATACTAGGCACAGCGGCTGTTTTAAAACTCACATTAGGATTTCACATGCGATGATCAAAATAATAATAACATAATCAAGCGGAGCATTTTCCACTGACTGTAGTGATTTCTACTAGACTTCTACGTCAGGTCGTTAGTGATGGGCTTTGTATAATTTATTATACTGGTAAACGCACAAAATAATGCAGAGCAACCAATCTTGGTACATGCCCATTGTGAGATTGTAAATCGTACCTTGGCAATTCCCTTTGGCTTTACTCCAATTGCCGACTTGGTTGCAGTCAGCGTGGCTTGCACCAGTATTCTTGTAGCCCGCATTACAGTCATACAGGGCTTGAGAGGGAAAGATGACGCCAGATGGATACGTTACTACTCCGTTACTCAGTATCAAGTTCTTCAGACATCTATTGCCGGTGATTTCTGAAAAAATCACACGTATATAAAATATCAATGATTAACACATCGCTTTTCAGGAGTTGTCCACTCACAGGCATACATTACTAGGTGCTCGTATGTGGCTGTGGTGCCAGTGAGCTGAATATGGATGTATGTCATGTCGTGCCTGTCGGGTACGAGTTAATTCATCTCTATATAATATACTTGTAGCAGTTGAGCACTCTTGCGTGGGGTAGTGCCTTTGCTGTTTGCGTTATGCAGAGCTCACTGACTTGTCAGTTTGAGCACTCTGGCAAGGTACGTTCGGGCCTGATTGGAAATTTTTATTTCCATTGCTATCAGGTTCGGCCTCATTTCCTCTGTGCTGCGCTGATGAGTTCAAAAAGAGCGAAACAGCATGCTGTCCGCAGATTGAGTATTTCGCTCCTGCTCTTGTAGCAGTTGAGCACTCTTGCGTGGGGTAGTGCCTTTGCTGTTTGCTTATGCAGAGCTCACTGACTTGTCAGTTTGAGCACTCTGGCAAGGTACGTTCGGGCCTGATTGGAAATTTTTATTTCCATTGCTATCAGGTTCGGCCTCATTTCCTCTGTGCTGCGCTGATGAGTTCAAAAAGAACGAAAACAGCATGCTGTCCGCAGATTGAGTATTTCGCTCCTGCTCTTGTAGCAGTTGAGCACTCTTGCGTGGGGTAGTGCCTTTGCTGTTTGCGTTATGCAGAGCTCACTGACTTGTCAGTTTGAGCACTCTGGCAAGGTACGTTCGGGCCTGATTGGAAATTTTTATTTCCATTGCTATCAGGTTCGGCCTCATTTCCTCTGTGCTGCGCTGATGAGTTCAAAAAGAACGAAACAGCATGCTGTCCGCAGATTGAGTAATATAATATATATTATATATAAATAGAGAGGTAGGCGAACATAATTTATATACACACAACAACAAGGTTGTCAATTTCATAGTACTAAAACCTTTTCACCCATTTTCATCAGTAGATACATGGGAATGAGCGAGAACGAAAACGAAGCCAGAATTTATACTGGGGGTAGAGAATCAGCAAGAATATTCTTACGCGCCTCAAGTTCACACTACACTACCATAAGAATGTATGGAGCAGTGGAAAAATGCGGGAAACAACACATGAAGGGAATGCATTACCAGAACAAACACGTGATAACGTTGTCAGTCCGGTTGCAGCCTGAACACACGTAGCACCGTGATGTGCTTCTTTTGTCGACACAGTTCTGGCCTCAAACTGCGAATGTACAGCGCCTCCAGTGTGAATCGGTGCGCGCTGTTCCGGCTGGTGTGATGACTATATAATATATACTCAATCTGCGGACGGAACTGTTTCGTCCTTTGTGGACTCGTCAACGCAGCGCAGAGGAAATGATAGAACTGACGAATGACATTATGTGAAAATATATTCTAGGAAATCCTTTCTGACCTGATTACCCTTAAGGTGGAAGAAATAATAGCATGCGTTACATACGCACAGTCCTTACTTGCGTCTTCTCGAGATGATTGGCAGATAACTATGGCCGATGGTGAACACTGTGAGGAATTCGGAGTGCATCCCGTGGAACTGTACGCTCCCAGATTGGTCTGGAGCCTGCTGTTGATGTGGCTCAAATACGTTGAAACACACAGTTCTTTTCCAGATGTACTAACAATCTCATAATTTTTGCTTGCGCATGTAGAGTTAGCAGCTGTCATGCTGATCGCTTGCGACCACTTCTGTGAGCTGACCAAGTACTCCCCTGCAGAGTTGTTACAGTTGAAATGCACTGTAGAAACACAAAGATAAAATATACTTGAAGTATAAAGTTAATAGAAAATTGGAGGCGTATAATATAATAATAAATAACAATAATAACACGAATAGTCGTTGCGACTTCGACGATGAGTTTTTAGGAATGGGTTTGCTCCCACACTGAAGCTCGCGCAATTCCGCCGCCTTGACTTGACACTTGACTGTCTCAGGACTGCCATCCAGAGCACACGAGCAGTCCATCGACCCTTCGACTCGGCAAACCTGTAAGAAAGCACCACTCCCTGCTCAATACACAGCGTTTCGGATAATTCACCCCTCATCAGTTGAGCATGAGTAGGCTGAGGAAGATTGTGCCTGAAGAGCACCACTTAATTATAGGTTAGTGCATGGCAGGGAGGGCCTTATGGCTTGTTAGTGACCGACAGGTTCGCCTGAGGGCCGTAGTCCCGAGGGCTACCCTGAAGGGTACAAACAAGCCATAAGACCCTCCCTGCCATGCACTAACTATTTTAGAACGAGATTACATGCATTATCTTCCAGTATGCCCGTGTACCATTATATTGGGTAGTTTAGTGGTATGTGTGCAGAGAGACTTGGTGTGGTATGAAAGAGCATTTTCTTCTGGTAAGTTATGGTAACTCAGCACCACTTAGGACTACTAAAAGTGGAATAGAAGCAAATGAAATGCTGGGCTCTTATTGCGAGTTTCATTCCTATTCTTAGCTTGTGGAGCTATTTAGTGGCTTTGAGAGCCCCTTGTAGATACCTCTAATGACTTTGATCTTCGGTTTTTATAGGTTTCCGCAAGCTGTTGACAAAGGAAATTCGTACAGATGAAAGAATACGGGAGGCAAAACCGTTCACACTTCTGAAATGCGTAGCTTTTAGTAATACACCGTACATTTTATGCAGAGTTCACTATCTGCACCGTACTAAAATGCATACAGGGAGTTGTACGGACCAGTTTAGAGTATGTTCAGCGGGCTTTAAACTAATCCAAGGCCCTCGACGCGTCATCAAGAGTAGTAAAATAACGATTGAGCGGACTTTAAACTCTGATAAGGCCCTTAGCGGGAATGTCGCTGATTGGTCGTTTCCTGGACAACGAGACAGACCTCGTTCTAAAACGTTTTAGAACGAGGGATACAAACTTATAGAGACGCTCCATTTCCGACGCGATGAACACCTCGTGAATACCAGATACCAGCGCGAGTCAGTGTCGCTCCTGGACGGTAAGAACAGACCAAGAGATCCCTCGGTCATTCACAACGCTGTCAACTCCAAACCAGCTAGTCGCAAGCCCGCGCTGGGCAAACAGTACGAAATCCGTCTTAACAATGCAACAAAATATCTGGCTTGCAAGTATTGTTGAGTTTCGGAGAGAAAAGAGTAGTACGTGGCATGTGGCCTCTAATTTCCTACAAAACTGAAATTCTCCATGAAGTCCGAATTTGAAATTGCAATTTGTATTTGCTCGCAGTTGACATAGTTTGATGCGCTCCCCATGATATCAAGCGAATGACCGAGGGCCCTCTTGATTGGTGTGAGTTGCCAGTATGATGCAAGCCAGATATGGATGAATTGAAGAAGGATACCCATCACTGTGGGTAAGAGTCATACTGTAGCTCAGTTGGTTAGAGCATTGCTCGACAATACCTTGGTTCATGGTTCGAGTACCGGTGGTGTGACTGAAGAATTTTTCTTTGGCTCATATCTGGCTTGCAAGTGTTGTTGAGTTAAGTAGAAAAAGGAACAGTACGTGGCATGTGGCCTCTAATTTCCTAAAACCGAAATTCTCCGTGAAGTCCAAATATCCTCGCCAATATATTCGTTGGTTATTGTGAGTGCAGGATTGATTAGTCGCTTTGGCCCGCGTTCTACGTGCGTTTTGTTGACGATTCGTTCACGCATTTTGACAGTGTTGAGAGCAGTGAATTGTTTCTCGATGTGCGCAACAGCCTACATCCTTCCCTCCGCTTTACTTGTGAGCACGAGCAGTCAAGTAAGTTGTCATTTCCAGACGTGCTTGTAGAGAAGACTGGCTGTGAAATGTTGACTTCTGTGTATCGTAAGCCTACGTTCACCGGTCAGTACATTGCATTCGATTCATATTGTTCGTCTCAATACAAGGTCAACTCAGTTCGTAACCTTGTGGACCGTGCGAAACGTATTTGTTCGCCCAGTAAGCTGCAGGCCGAGCTCGATTTTCTTCGATCTGTTTTCTTGAAGAATGGCTATCCGGAATTCTTGTTGCGTAAGTTTCTGTCCATGGAGCAGAAACCGAAATCGGTGCTGATTGGTCCACCTCGCTGTCCCGTCTATCTAGGTTTGCCATGGAAGGGGCAGGAATCGATCAAAGTGTGTCACGAAGTCAAGTCTATCGTCCATCGTTAGGCCTGGGCGGATAATGCTAGTTATTTTGCGGGATAATGCTAATGGCAATGCCAGAAAAACTGTATCATAATGCTACTTGTAATGCTGCTGTTCCTCTGTAATGCCAGCAATTCACCAGTAGTAAGTATGGAAAATGGCTTGGTTTGGGCAGTATTGTGCACGTTTCGTAGTTCTGCGTAGACTGCATGAAATGCTAGAGAATCATGATCATAATCTTAATTTTATGCTGCTATTGCTCCATACAATCCTAGCAGCCAGCTGTCCAGCGAGGAAAGTCTCGAGTGGAGGCCTCTCGATCTGCTCGCTCATTCGCCTGGCATCCAGTAGCACTTCATCGCCAAGGACTTCAATTCAAAACAGTTTTCACACTGCGCTTCAAGCCTTTTTCCTGGTGAATTTGCTGCAAACGTATGAGCTCTGCTGCGTGTGTTCCCTTTGTGTGAGGCCCAGAAACAGCTACGTAGTGTCTCCGTACTTCGATTGGCTGGATCGATGTCGTCCCCGGGGTCTCCTCGCTATCGCCATCACGACTGGAGACGATTTCTTCACCATTTTCCGCAAGCAGCAGCTAGCGCAGAAATATCGCCATCCCTGAGTGTAGGAGATGGAATCCGGTCGATCAGCTCAAAAACTCTTCGTATCGTTGTGACTAGAGGAGTAGCAGGGAATATTCTACCGGAAGCCCTTTGACTTCCCTGACTGCTGAAACCCTTCCTGCCATGACTGGTACTTCTTTAAACAAGCGAGATTCTCTTTGGTTCCACTTCACTGCACTCGATCGAGCGTCCACACGACACAACCGTTTTACAAAACATCTTTTTTTCTCAAAAAACGGTCACCCTAATAACTTAGCCTGGTTTTCGCAGAAGTAAGGGCCATTTGAGTATAATGCCACTTTTGCGGAAATGTAGTGTTATAATGCTAGCATAATGCTCGTTGCAAATCGCACACTATAATTCTACTTATAATGCTAGCATTATCCGCCCAGGCCTATCCATCGTGCTTATTATGCAGTACATGTTGTGCCAGTCTTCACAACAGTGCGTGCGTTCACGGTGCGGAAGGACGTCCTACCAACCCTGCACCTCAGTCATGTTATCTACAACTTCGAATGCCGACATTGTGCTAGTCGGTATGTTGGTAGGACTGTTCAGCATCTGAACGCACGTATCAAACAACACACTCCACTTCACATCCTTCCACCCAGTGCGCAATCTGAGAGGCCCAAACGCGGAAGGCCCAGGAAAAACCCATCACACGGCAGGATAGTTCCCTGCCGCTGTCTGCCGCTCCCCCTCTGACATCTGTGTTGGACGGGCTTGAGCTTGGCAGCTCTTTGGAGATGCGTGCGGAACCGCCATTGGTGCAGCCCTCGGCTGTGCCTAAGTCTGTGCCTCTGGGTGCTTTGCATGGGGCTGTGCCTCGAGAGGTGACAGCACCTCTGCCTCCCCCTGACCCTCCTCCTTCGAGGTCTGTGTTGTAGGAGAGCACCCGCGGCGGTCGATTTGTCCCACCGGAACTAGAGCTGGATTCAACAGAAAGACCAACAACCATGGCTGCAACAACACCACCAGCTTCACATCCAACAACAACACCAGGTTCACATCCAACAACAACAACAATTAATCCACAAAACAAAGCAGCAAATGACAGACCACGGAGATCTACAGCAGATTACAACCGGACCTATGAATTCACGGTAAAAATACAAAGGAAACAATCGGAAAGGACGACGACTGACATGAAAGCAACGGCATTCACGGTTGGCGTGGGTGGTGAAGGTGAGACGCAGGACGATGCAAGTGAGGAGGAGAGTCAAACCGCTGTGGATGACGGAGCAGGTTCTGATTCAGACAGTGAGGGAGAAGGTGAGCTGAGTGAGGGTGAGAGTGAGTGTGAGGGTGTGCGCGTGAGTCGAGATTGTGTGCGTCCGTCTCGTAATAACAAGTCTTCAGTATACAATCATTTGGTTTCTCGGCTATCACATTTCGTTAATTTCTTACTTTTTAGACGGGGTCCATGGACTAGAACACAATAACTTTTTTTAGAAAACTGCCATAAAGCAGTTTTTATTGCTATAATTTCTTTTGTTTTTTTATGTCACAAATCATGCAATGGAATGCCCTAAATGATGGCCTCTCCGTCATTTCAATACCGTACTACCGGTATACGCATTGATGTGCAAGCCTTTTCTTCCCGAAAATGGCACTTGCATGATCATGTTCTTCTGAGCTGAGGGGAAACATGTGGGTAGTGGTGGTGATACGTTTTTATACGCAGGTCATTCTGTGGATGTTGCAGAATTTCATGACTGTCATAAAATTGTCTTGCCTTTCCGATATTTCAGATTTCCACACCCTCAATCAGATTTACTTGAGAAATGTAACCAGGTGCGTGTCGCACATGTTTTTGTTGATGCTGTGTTTATAATTATTGTAGTCGTGGGTTGTCGTGATAAGGTCATCTTGCATCATATTGCACGGAAACCGTAATCCTGTTGATGTCGATAAAACTTTTGGAAGTACATGTACATGTAGTTTATGACTTCAAAGTGTTAGTCCACGAATGTCTAAAACAACACAGCAAAGGAGGAAAAATAAACATGTATTAAAATGTAAA